GTGGCACTGCATATTTACTTGGTATTATTCCATTTTGGAGTGATATTCTATATATTTACAGGAATGCAGGGCTCTTCCTACCCCCACCCTCACTTACTTGCTGAAAGAGGTAAACCCTGCAGTATCTTTTAAAAAATGTTCTTTATCCTTTCTTTGCCAGATGCAAGTATTTATGTCTCACATTCATGGTGGGACAAAACCTGAAACATTTTTCATTTACAGCAACAGAGAAGAAAGAAGTGGAGTATCAAATGCCATGTCAGAATGTTCGAAAGTGTTGTCCCTCACCCCACCTAAAGTCTTTTGTTAAGAGCAATTTTTTTGCTGTTGTCTCCATCCTTGTAAGAAAAGAGCGCCATGTAACTCATTGTTTGTCATCCCTTGGCATTGTCCGTTTCATAAAATATGTCCATTACATGAACGCCATGTGGTTGATATCTATTTCTGGTATGTCCTTACATATATACACATGATAGGCAAGCATATAAACAACTCTGGAGAGTGCCATTAAATCGTACCTACATAATTAGCCTCATAGACGGCCACTTTCACTCTCACAGGTTTCAGTTTACTGATCTAGTTAATCTATATTATATGTTCCCCTTCAATGATGATTTTAGTAGATCCTAATTATGAACATGAAGGAGCATTTTTAGGAAAATATTTGTTTCTTTGTTTTGTTCCATTTCTAGGCCACCTTTTTCCCAGTAAGGGGACCCAAGGTGGCTCACGGTGATTAAAACAGGTCAGATTAAAACATAATAAATTACCAAGTTAAAAACCAATTAAACATATAGTAATGATAATAATAAGAAATGTTATGTAAGCTTTAAAATTTTTAAAAATATGGTTTAAAACCTTTGTTACTCAGATGTTTTTGAACTGCAACTCCCAGAAACCCCAGCCAACACAGTTGGTGGTGAAGGCTTCTGGGAGTTGCAGTCCAAAACTCCTGAGTAACCCAAGGTTAAGAACCAGTGGTTTAAAAGACTATAAACCAGCATCCAGAAGGGACTCATCTTAGTTATTAACATCCTTCCCGCAGTTTTGTGACTGTTGCAGAAAAGACAGATGAGAGGAGGAAACCTAAATTCCCAAGGGAGACCATGCCACAACCAGAGAGTGCTGCCCTCTGGTCTTGTCCCCATGAAACGTATGTGTGATGGTGATGGAACCAAGAGAAGGACCTTCTCTGAAGATCTTGAGAGCCATGTTCATACACCTGGCCACCAGGACATGCAATATTTTTCCTCATAACGTCTTTAAAAAATCAAATGACAAAACTGCAAATTACAGCCCAGGTGCATGCTGCTGCCTGTTAAATATCTTCTACATTGTAAGGATGGTTAATCCTAGTGCTTATTACTGCTCAGAGAGGAGAACTCAAGGATACATGATGCAGATGCCTTAAATACAGACTATGGACACTGTGTCCAAATTGCACAGCACCTTTTGACATATACAGATTGCATCTGGATGGGAGATCTCCACAGTGATTCCTCTCCTCCACACTAACTTTAAGTTATGAGTTCCAAACTTGGATAAGAATACTCCAAAACATTTTTTGTCTGGAAGGCAAATGGGCTATGTTATTTTTTCTGGTCACACTCAGTGGACTCTGTACCCCAAGCCATAATGTCTGTGAAGGGAGAGCAATTTTGAAATTCTATGACTGATCATCATCTAGAACTTTAAACATGCCATTTTAGAGGCTGATTAACATATAGCCGGCATAGATCAGTGGACATGTTGGAGTTGGATGCTGTTGACCAATGATGGATTCATTGGATGATCTCAGATAAGTTGTTATTTCAACTCTAGTTTCCAACTTATGTGACCGATGTAGCTGTTTTCATTGTTTAAATATTTTGAGCTGAAGGGAGGCATGATACATTATACATTGATACTCTCACAACAACGGTTGTAGGAACAGACGTGGTCCCAGAGTGTTAGGAAACTGATGGAAGAAATTTTAGTCATGGAATAGGGAGCCATGCAGTTTCATCCCCACCTCCACTGGTAGTCTTTTGCACCACAGTCATTCTGTCTGAGACAGTTTCTCAGACCTATGGGACAGATGTTTTAAGACAATCACTTCTGCCACCTTCTGCTTATAGAACTGCTTCCAGCAACAAATGGAAACAGCTAGATCCGGCCAGGAAGCAATCAATGAATTCATACATGCAGAGAAATAATCTGTGAGATGGGAAGTAATTTACAGATATTTATGCAATTTTTATCAGAAATTTTAATGTCAGTTGTTTCACCACTATTTTATCTTGTTCACAATTCTCTTGTGAAATATGGCCTTATTCTGTAGAACTATTTTTGTCATTTAATCAGTGACAAATGAAAATAACTACATCAGTAAAGACTGAAAAAACACTAGGCAAAATTCAAAGGCATAGGCTTGTAAAACCAGTTGTCAGATTAGACTCAAATAGAGCTGGTTTTGAATTTAGTTTTTAAAAACATAAAACAATGCATAGGGTGAAGGTTTATGTGGCCATGTGCATTCCCTTACCAAATATCCTGCCAACCTTTCCTGAGCTCCCTGTCATTCTAGGGCATTGTTTATTCAAAAAGCCAACAGCGGCTAAAAACAAATTGCAGATATTGAATAGAAATGAACAGCCAACTAACAACAGACATTACTGGTGTATGACTGCAATCTTATAGCTATGATAACTAGCTCTATGATGAGTAGGGCTTACTTCTGATTGCATGATGTATTGATCTTGAATAGAATACTTTTGGCCCACTGAAATGCAACATTCTGTAGCTTTTAATTATAAATGCAGTGAAAGAATATTATAGAAAATACTGCTACAGCAGTGGTTCCCAACATTAGTTCCCCAGATGTTCTTGGACTAAAACCCCCAGAAACCTTCAACTCTGGCTGTGTTGACCAGAATTTCTGGGACCTGTAGTCCAAGAACATTGAGGGACCCAAAATTAAAAACCACTCTGCTAGAGTGAAGAACCTAGAAAGCAGAGGAAAAAATAATTCAGCCTTTTCCTTGATGTATTTCCTATATATTAATCTGCCATCAAAAATAGTGTAACATAAAAACCTCATTATCAGCTGTTTGGAAAGAGGGGAGTCAGAGAGAGAGAGAGAGAGAGAGAGAGATCCCGTTCATCACTGGCTGTGACCAAATAAGATGAACATTGTACAACTTAATCATACTGCAACACACATTTCCCTCTCTTCTGATTTGTAAGATTTTAAGTAGCAGCCAAACAGGGCCTAGTTACTAGTTTCCATCTTAATGGCAAAGATCCTTTCCATCTGCTACCTTGAACGCCTAAACGAAGCTCAATTTGTGAAGTCTTCCTTTTGCCAGTCAACATTTGATTGACTTAATGCACTCTCTGAGCTTTCTAAAAACATTTAGACTTCTAGAAATCTAATTATTCTGCTATTTCTTTCTCAAACCTTGTTTGAAATTTTCTGCTCTTCCAGAGTTCAGAGTTTCACATTTTCAGATTCTTTTCAAAGGGTGGGTGGATGTTTGGAGGAAGAGGCAGCAGATTATTTTTTTTAAGTTCTATGCATTTTAAACCCTTATCAGCACAACCAATGGGATGTCTGCAACAGTTCTGTCTAAGGCAGACCCTAGTAAAGTCTCATCCATGTGAATGTTACTATTCCATCTACAATTAGGAGACAAATGAAAAATCTAACAGTCCTAGAATTCATATAGCCATAATACATTTCTCAACAGCTCACATTCTTTGCCATTCTGTTTTTCCCTTCAAGAAACACCATCTTTTCTTACTCGTAGCATTCAATGGTGACCTCTGCATTTGGCAAGAGAGGAGACTGAGAAGGCCCTCCCATTTCGGTCATGGAGGACTGCATGTCCTTTCTGACCAAGCAACACATTTGCATGTGATATTGGATCTGTTTAGTCCTATCACTGGTTTCCCCCATGGCCTTGTAATTTAGTGATGGAAAAACAAGAAAATCCCCTGACATAATAAAAGAGAGCGTACTTCAGATGAAGTACTGTAGATCAGAAATAAAAATTTACTATTCTATTAACTCAGTTGTATGAATCATGTCCACCAGGCAGACGTTCAAAATGAAGGAATCCAGTACATTGTGATTAAATTATGAAAAACTGAGCAAACAACAATATATATTCTAGTGTCAATTGTTTATTAATAAGGTTTTTTTTAAAAAACAAAGAGGCTAGAAAAGTGGGTCTATACTCGAGTGTTTACCTCACATATGCATGAAGGAAAAATAAAAGTTGGATCAACAATTACATGTTCACATTATCCAGGCTTCCAAGTATAGTTGTTGTGTGCCAATTAGCTGTGTTTATGTGACAACTGTGACTTTTTCCTGTGTAGCATGTTTTTGCCTAAGTATTTTTGTCTGCTTGGCTTTATTTTGTGCTCTTGGCTGCTTCATTTAGATCTTGCTTTTTTTAAAAAAAAATGTATATATTTTTAGTTTTTAGTTTTGGCTCCTGTGTTTGTCTTTCATACCTATCCATCCAACTCTGTCCGTGTTTTGTGCTGTCTTGTTTGAGATGTGCAGTTTGTTTTGTGTTTTTATTCTGTATAACGAAACTTCCAAAACAAAACAAAAAGCAAAGAACCAGAAAGCTTTCCTACTTATCCACTACAAAAACCTATCAACATGCATGGATCTACATTAACATGGCTTGTCTTTTACTAGGGTTTTACCACATGAGTGGATGTTCGCTTTGTTTAACCAGTGCTTCTCATCAGTTCTGGGAACAGTTCTGATGGCTTTAAACTCATATGGTTTTAACATTGCAGTTGTTTCAGGCACTCAAAATGCACAAAACTGGGCCACTCGTTTATGCATTTAGCACCCAGAGACTATGGACTACAGCTGCCTGCTCTGCTCTGCCCTAACCATACACCACATTTTTTCACCAAAAAAAAAAAAAGTTCAGAAAGGGTTGGTATGGAAGACCAGTTGCCACTGACACGTCTCCTTATCTTTTCCCTCCTCTCAGATCCGCGTCGTGAAGGCATTCCGTAGCTCTCTCTATGAAGGTTTAGAAAAACCAGAATCTAGAACCTCCATTCACAACTTTATGACTCATCCTGAATTTAGGATAGAAGATTCCCAGCCCCATATTCCTCTCATTGATGATGCAGAACTAGAAGAAGACCCTGCACTCAAGCAAAACCCAAGTCCACCCTCCTCACTGAACAAGAACAATAGTGCTATTGACAGTGGAATAAACCTTACGACTGACACAAGTAAATCAGCTACCTCTTCTAGTCCAGGAAGCCCTATCCATAGCCTGGAAACATCACTTTAGCTGAAAAAGTCACTGCAAAAATGTTAATATAAATAATAATAATAATGATGATAATAATAATATATATGTATATACATAGACAGAGATGTATAAAAAAAAGCTGACTGAGAAGCTGTTTGAACTCCTGTTCCTGTTGAAGGGGGTGGGGGGAAGAATGAATCAGTGATCTCAGTGGTTTTGGGGAAAGAATGAAGGGGTGATTTTCATATTGCTCTTTTACTCCCCAGCAGAAACAAACAAAAACAATACAAATGCTCTCCTGCATGAATGTACTATCCACTCCCGATCCTCCTTTCTTTTTATTCCTTAAGCAGGAAATGCCGAGGACTTGTTTGAGGCTATTTATCCAATGTAATGGTGTATGAGGTTTTTTTTTAAAATGCTTGTGTGGCATGGACTCTGTTGTATAGATTAATTTAAATAACCTTTTTTGAAATTGCAAAGCTTAAATTGCACAGTAGATTTGCACCAGTTGGACAGAGGAACCTAAATAAACATTTATGAGACTATATATAGAAATGTCCTTTTATATATATATATAAAAACATTTCTTTGTTGGCATGTTGCCTTTTCTGCTCAAATTGCTCTATTTTAACTTATTGATGTCCCAAAAAAAAATAAAGAATGTAATTTGTTTACAGAACTGTAGATAATATCCTTACCTGTTTGTAGGATTTAAGACAGCACTTCCTGCCGAGATAATATACAAATCGCTCAGTTCAATGAAATTTCTGTTAACACGGCACCCTGGATGTTTTATTACAACTATGATCTGATTTTTGCCTGATAGGGGTTTTTTTAAATTAAATAATGTAGATACTGCTAGCAAATAACAAAAGAAGCCAAAATCTAACACACACTGGATGTAGCGTTGTTATCCTTTGTAGAAGGTAATGAAACAGAAAGGCTTCCTTTGTTTTAAATATGAATCAAAGCAATTGGGGGTTTTTGCTCTCTTTTTTAGAAGAACTGATTGACCTTGTTTTGATGCAATACTGAGTGATGAGGCCATTTCCTTATTTCAGTGTATTGCAATGGCTTCTTATACTTTTTTTTTTAAAGGATGATAATAAAGCTCAGTGGTGTTTCTGAATATCAGTTGAAAAATAAGTTATATTCGGCTTTGTATGAAGATCAAACTTATAATGGAATATTGTGTGCTGACTCTTATGACATTAGAAATTTAGGCTTTCATTTCTTGCAAAATGTGGGCTGTTGGCATTTTGGATGAGAACCACCATGGTTTGTTGCTTTGACATGACAGACAGATAGACAATACCATTTTCTGCACTATATAGACCTGAATGAAATCTTATGAAGTGTATAATGAAATCTGCTTTGTGTGATTATTTTAAAACCCAACTTTTCTTCCTGTGGTCACAAATCTACCAGTGTCGTTTTCCCCTTGTATTGTTCTTTCTATTAAGAAAGCCACTGACAATATTTGCAATTTGTGGGTGAGATTTTTTTTCAAGATGGTAACAGCCCTGATAATTGCTATGTCAACCACTTGAATGCAAAGCACTTTGTGGGTCACAGATTTTTCATAAATGACTTTTTGTATTTAAATACGGTTTGCTTCAAGACTTTTCAGCTATCTTTTCCATAAAACTGTACACTGCAAAAGACGTTTTGATTAATACCATCTATTATGCTAGAAGAGCTGGCCAAAAGGCCCTTTTAAATAGCTTGAAAACTTTGTTATTGTATTGCCTGCTGTTTTAAAGTTGGCTAATAAGGCGGAACAACTCTAGTGAGAAGAACTCTACTGCACGCCAGAAACTCTTCAAACAAGAGGAAATTCCTGGCTTAACTGCAGTTTGGAATGACTAATGTTCTGAGGGGGCACCATGACTATTCAGTTCAGCCAGGTAGAACTCTAACCAGCTTGACTTGCCAGCTTCTGGACTTGTATGAGAAGCTTTTAATGTCTTTTGGCTCTCCAAAACTCACTCTGATCCAAACGTCTGGCAGAACAGCAAATCTTCCCAGGCTTATACAACCCTCTTCTCCACAGACAGTGTTTACCCATTTTGTTAACATTCAGAGCGGGTATGAAAGCACAGCCGAACAGCTTAACCAGTAGAAACAAACTGATTCAAAGTTAGTCAGGGTTCAGCCATGGATTGTTAATTACAGTGACTAACTTTTCCTGTAACACTGAGTTTCTATATTCTACTTGGGACACCATATTGGAGAGGAAAAAAAATAAAAGTCTATATACAGGGAAAAGCATGTTGCTTTGGACTTGAGCAACTACAGAATTGTTGGTACTGGAATACTTTTTTGTTTTCATCATCTTAATGCTGATGATTTGCCTTTTATTTCAAGCTTGTTTTTCATCAAATTCTTTTTTAAAAAAATATTTCATTTTGTGTGTGCATTGTAATACTGCTTCTTAATAACTAATAGGGTACTATTTGGAGACTTGAAAAACTGAAAGAAAAAACAATTATGTACATAAATAGCTGAAAGAAAAACATCAGAAGAAATTAGAACATATATTATTTGTGATGCATAGGAAACTTCTGATTCTATCAACAAAAATATGCTTTATGTATATGATAAAACAGACTTTTTTAAAAACAAACAAAAGCAGATGAACTAAAACTACTTTTGAACAACAAGCTGTGTACCATGTTCCCTTTTCTTTATTGCCTGGCCTCTCTGTGATGGGAAGAATGGATCAAAAAACCAAAATGGTCTATATGTTGAAACTCACCACAATACATAAAATGCTTGCTCTCTATGTACTGTACCTAAAAGCATGAGATTTGTGGAAAAAATATTCAGCAGTACATTTGGCAATCCATCCCATTAGGGGTTATTATTCCTATATGTTTATTCATCTGTTTTTATGAATTTTTTAAATCTAGACAATAATTGTAAATAAAGAACTTACTGTCTCTGTTCATTTAATACTATGCAAAAGGTTATGCTTTCTATTGTTATTCCTACAGTGTGATGCTGGAATGTTTGTGGTTTCAAAAACAAACAAACACAAAAGTAAAATATGTGATGTAAATTATTTTATAGTTTGAAAGAAAATGATAACGTTTTACTCTTGCTGCTTACTGTCTAATAGATATCTCTTGGCAGGTGCACAAGTGGAAAATGAAAGAAAAACATAATAAATTCACAAAGCAGCATGAACAATAAAGGTCTGAATACAACATCCTTCTTTATTTTCACTCTCAGTTAATACGACACATAGATTTTTAAATCCATGAGCATAATTAAGGCCAGATACTTAGGAAGAGGTTGGCCTCATCATATTGGGGGTAAGAGTCTACTGAAAGCTGCTGATCAGTTGCAGTTATCTATTAAGAGCCTCTCTTACTTGAGGGGAAAGAAAACATTTGCCAGGAGGAAGAACTGTTTCTTCCTGTGACAAACACCATTCAAGCATTCAAAAAAGGGTTAAATCAACATCAGAGGAAGTTGAGAGCACTAGCCCCACCCCTCCATCCTTGTTTTCCTTACATGAGAAGCAGTCGTGAAGAGGGGCATTTGTATGCGAGATAGGTTTTTATGTGAACTGGACCGTGGGTTCTCACTTGTAATGGAGATTGTTCATATATAGATGAGGGTTTCCAGAACTGTGACTTTTTGTGTGCACAAAGAGATGACGGTGGGGTTAGCACACCCCTTTCTCTGAGGGTGGATTTAGGATGTCTTTCACGGGCTGGAAGGAACTGTAAATATATGCACCCATGTCCATCCATCAGAGCCCATACAGAGGACCAAACCTAGAGGATTTTGCAACACCTGATCATAACTAGTGAGAAGGATTATTTTTTGTTCGAAAGCATGCAAATGCAAGTAGATAAATAGGGACCACCTCGGTGGGAAGGTAACAGCGTTCCGTGTCTCAGTCGCACTGGCCATGTGACCACGGAAGATTGTCTTCGGAGAAAACGCTGGCTCTACGGCTTGGAAACGGGGATGAGCACTCCCCCCTAGAGTCGAACACGACTGGACAAAAATTGTCAAGGGGAACCTTTACCTTTACCTTAGATCAAGATATAAGGTAGATCTGGGATCAGTAACCATGCTGTGTATCATCCTGCTATGCCAAGGAAAGAATATTACAGTACCTTGTTAAAAATATGTTCGAACAGGGTACTGCTAAAATTTCCCATTTAGCAAGGTGAGATTCATGACCAAGTGATTGTATGCTTTCCACATCTCTATTCAACCTCTTGACTTCATCAAAAGTATAAGTACTTCCCACATGTTAAAGCAGAGGAGGTGACTCTCAGCGCTAGAAGAACAATGCTGGAAGTACAGGGTGATGAGCTAATGTGTAGCCCTCTATTACCTCCCTTTTTTTAAAAAAAAATCTTTTTCTTTCTACCAGCATTACAGTTCCAGGTGAACACAATGAGTCTCAAGAAAACTTTGATAATTCTTGGGCTAAACTAGATGAAATGTCTACTTCATATTAATAATATTCAGATTTAAAGATTAATTTGCTAGTGGGTTTTTTCTGTTGTTTTTAATTATGTAGCATGCAATAAAAGAAATTCCCTCAATGCATATTATGGTGCAGCTCATACAGATAGGTAATAGAATGGATTTTAAGCCCCACTATATCCTGTTGAGGAACACATATACCTTAAAGTGATACACTGAAAAGTATACAGTGGAATGCAACATCATTTTGCAGACCACGTTTGGTGGCTGATTACAGAGTGAAACTGAACACTGCTGTCTTTACGTGATGGAAATCTTGCATGTTGCAGCTCAACTCCATCAGATCCCAGTGTTTCCTGCAGGGAAACATTAGTTATGCTAATCAGCTGTCTTTGAAATAATTCTTTAACATAGTAAGTTTTTTAGAGGAGGTTGTGGTGTTCCCTCTTTAAGGACTGAAGTGAAGCAACATTGCCAGGGTTGAGGGTGACTTACGTTATAACCTTGCCCTATTTATTAGGTTTATTATACTGTTGATACTATGGATAACATGATGTTCAGAGTGACTTGGACAACTTTCTCTTGAACTATGCCATCCTCTTTTCTTCTGTGTCTTGCTTGCTTTTATCCTTAGATTCCCTAAATGTTTACGCTGATGAAGCATATTATTCCTGTTTTTTGCAGCTTGTCACATCTGGGGCAGGTGTCCAGTGCAGGATCTTGGGACTTGGACACTGACCTTAAACCCAGGTAACTAGGCTTGGTAGTGAGTGTCTGAAATCAAATTGATGGGATAGTATAAAATAGAGATGGGCAAAGTATGGCTCTCAAGTCATTGGTGGATAACAACTCCCAGCATCTTCCATGATTGACTGCGCTGGCCAGGACTGGAAGGAGTGACGATCCAATAACATCTGGAGGGCCACACTTTGCCCAGTTCTACTCCGAAAGCTCAAGTGGACAGAAAGGACTAGAGATTTCTGAAACAGGTATTCGTCAGTGAAATTTTCATCATTCCATCCCAGGCTGCTGGTTACCTGTAGTAAGCCTGTGGATTTTCTTGAAGAACCATGTTTTTCTGAATGATTTATGTGGATG